AAGTGCTGGATTAAAGACGTGCACCACCACTGCCCAGCACAAAGGCTCTGTCTAGCATGCAGTCTTTTATCTGCTCACCAGGAAGCCCAGCCTAAGATGTAAACAGAGAGGTTTCTTGGGATTGCCTTCTCCATCCATCTTTCTCTGTTGGCCTCTGAGAGAAGCCAACCTAAGATGCAACTGAACGAGAAACGAGAAAGATACAAGTTGAGGAAGGGGATAGAGGAGGATAGGTCACGGCACACTCGGAGAAGAGAGGTTCAAGCAGGATGAAGACCGCAGGAAGGACTTTTCCTGCAAGGGCACTGGTGAGGCATGCAAGCTTAGACCAGAAGCTTAGTGAGGTTGGTCTGGATGTTAAAGGATAGGTGGGCTGGGGGATTGCTTGGTGGGTAAAGCGCTTACCGGACAATAGTAATTCAGTAGTTGACCAGAAGCTGATGGAAAGGGATGGAACCCAATGGGAGACTCACCTCCCACAGGAGAAAGGGAGACAAGAATGGGAGTCTGTAAGATGCAGACCAAACCCAGAACAGGATGCAGGGGAAATGCCTTCGTAAAGTGCTCACCTCACATGCGGAGGACTTGAGTTCAGATCACCAGAACCCATGTAAAAAGCTGGGTAGAGCCAGGCGTTGGTGGCACGTGCCTTTAATCCCAGCACTCGGGAGGCAGAGGCAGGTGGATCTCTGGAAGTATGAGACCAGCCTGGTCTAAGAGCAAGTTCCAGGACATCCTCCAAAGCCACAGAGAAACCCTGGGTAGAGCAGCATGTATCAACAATCCCAGGCAGATCCGTGGGCATTCCAGGTCCAACTAGCCTGGCCTATATGGGGAAGTTCCAGGCCAATGAGAAACACTGTCTTGAACACACACACACACACACACACACACACACACACGCATGCTGTGTCATTTTGTTTTCTGTTACTGTAACAAATACCTGAAATAAATCAATTTAAAAAGCAGAAGTTTAGGCAAGGTAGCTCAGCAATTGAAAGTGCCTATTGCTTTTGCAATGGACATGGGTTCATTTGTTGGTACCCATACTGCTGCCTTGAGGCTGAGCTTTCAGCCGCTAGGAAATTGAGGGGGAGCCACAGAGTTGACAGACTGATCACTCAACTTGACATTTCTGCTGGAGTTAAACTGAATTCTTTGGGGCTGGAAAGTGGAGCAAAACTGAACTCTCTGGAGCCAATGAAAAAGGGAAACACACACAGACACACACACAGACACACACACACACAGACACACACAGACACACGCACAGACACAGACACACACACAGACACACAGACACAGACACACAGACACACACACATACACACACACAGACACACAGACACACGCACAGACACACACACACATACACACACAGACACACAGACACACGCACAGACACACACACACACACACACATACACACACATACACACACAGACACAGACACACGCAGACACAGACACACACACACAGACACACACACAGACACACACACATACACACACACAGACACAGACACACACACACACGCACAGACACACACACACGCACAGACACACGCACACGCACAGACACACGCACAGACACACACACACCTTCTTTATGGTCTTTCTATCATCTCTCTTTCATCTCTTCATTTCTTACCTCTATCCAGGTGTATCTGTTTTGTCTCTCTTGATGTCTTCCTTCTAGTTAACTTTATTTTTCCCCCTTACGGCTTATATACCCCAGCAAAATCTTCCAAGCAGTATAAAAATTACAATGTGGTTACGTTCTATGTTTAAGTGAATGATTACAATGAACACAGGTGAAAAATAAAGTGTTTCTCATATCCCTTACATTATTAAACATTTTACGCATTACAGGTGAAAAACAAATTATCTCCAAGAACCCACATACATTCTTGCTCAGGAAACTTGTTATAGATTAACATAGCATAAGCAAACAAAGTATTTTTCTCAGCCAATTCTTTTACTGGAAGGCTGCATTTTTGTGGTCACAAAGAAAGGATCAATTATTTTATTATTTATTTTAAAAGGTAATCCTTTTTGTTGTTGTTTGGGGTTTTTCTGGATTTTTTTGTGCGGTGGATTTTTTCGAGGCAGGGTTTCTCTGTGGTTTGGGGGGTTGTCCTGGAACTAGCTCTTGTATACCAGGCTGGTCTCAAACTCACAGAGATCCACCTGCCTCTGCCTCTTTATACCAGGCTGGTCTCAAACTCACAGAGATCCACCTGCCTCTGCCTCTTTATACCAGGCTGGTCTCAAACTCACAGAGATCTGCCTGCCTCTGCCTCTTGAGTCCAGGAAATAAAGGCATGAGCCACCACTTCCCAGCATGTTTGTTTTTGTTTTAATATCAGGAAGATGAGGGCAGAAATAGGTATAATTAATCACCTTTGATCACCAAACCCATCCTAGCAAGAAAGGTACTGAAAGGGGTAAACTAAACTCAAAGGCTTCACTTCTAATAATTTAGAAATAAAGGGACCAGACCCTCACTCAGCCCCTGCTTTAGCAGCTATGACAGGCTACAGAAAAGACACGTAGGCCTCCGACACAAGGAAACTCCAGATCTTCTGGCCTCCCGGAGTCTAGGGCCAAAACTGAACACAAAGAAACTCCAGACACACCAACCCCCATTAGCCTTACTAGATGCTTGGTTCCTGGGCACTGTTTGGTCACAACAGAAACTCCAGGGGGGGATCAAAACCTCCCCTGTAGTCTCCAGGATATAGTTCTGAAAACTATTGGTATCTTTATCCAACGGGCCACCTGCAAGTAACAAGACAATGCCATAGAAACCACAAAATGTTCCCTCTCAGCACTGACCAATGAAAATAATTGCTACACAGGTATTTCATGCCAAAACATGACTTTGAAATTTTTTCCTGATTGTTTGCAAATGTCAACCAATCAGAAACCAACTCCTACCTACTGATGTAATCCTGTAGGTTTTGTCTTTAAACCCTAGCAGTAGACAGGGAACTTCACTCTGTGGAGGCTGCTCGACAGCTAGTCAGACCTCCCTGTCATGGGTGGATAAACAATTAAAACCCTGCTTTTGAAGTTTAGTGGGTCTGTCTTCCTGGTGGTCTCTGGGGACTTTGCAACTTGGGCACAACATTTGGGGACTCGTCCGCGATCCCCAGGACCCCAGACCCCTAAAGCTTTAAGTCTCCGACCAGGCAAGTAAATGCTGTGTTTGTTTGTGTTATTTGTTGTGCTGGCCTGGCAAGAGGCTAAAGTCAACCAGGAAGTAACAATTTCTTTTTCTGTTTTTTTTTTTCCCTCCAAGACAGGGTTTCTCTGTGGCTTTGTAGCCTGTCCTGGAACTTGCTCTATATTATAGGCTGGCCTAGAACTCAGAGATCTGCCTGCTGAGTGCTGGGATTAAAGGTGTGCGCCACCACTACCTGGCTGGAAGTGACTATTCTTTAGTTTTCCTTACACTTAATTCTGGAGTAAGAAATACAACTCACAGCCAGGAATTGGTGGCACACGTCTTTCATCCCAGCACTCAGGAGACAGAGGCAGGCAGATATCTCTGTGAGTTCGAGGCGAGCCTGGTCTACAGAACAAGCTCTAGGACAGCCTCCAAAGCAATACACAGAAAAAAAAGAAAAGAAATCCAACTCAGAAAAAAGCAAGTGACAGACTTTACGAGGCTAGGGCTGCAGTGGCCAGCAAACACAGACAACCAAGGGATGGCTTAGAGGGTAAAGACACTCACGACAAAGCCTGAGACCTGATTGGTGGAAGGGGAGCACATACCGGAGCCTACAGTACTATTCTTACCATCAAAACTCTCAGCTTCTGTGTGTCTGGTTACGGATGCTTTGACAACAGCGAGTGTGTCATGCCCAATTGACACTGAAGCCCAACTCATGGCCCTTCTGTCCTCACTTTGTCAAATGTGTGCCCCTGCGAACATTGCTCTCATTTTCTCTCCATCACCCACAGCTTTCTAATGAAAAAAAAAAAGATTAGAAAATGGCACCAACCTTTAAAAACAAAAACAGAGACTCGCTTATTCCAGACTGGCCTTGAACCGGCTAAGGACGGCCTTTAACTTAATGATTCTTCACCTCCCAAGTGCTGAGACTACAGGCAAGCACCATCACCCTTGATCTTATGTAGTGCTGGTGAATTGATACGGATTTGTGTGATATAGACCCTTACACACTGAGCTACATCCCCAGGCAATAGACAATGACTCTGATTTGAAGACAGGGTCTCCCTATGTAGCCCTAGCTGGCCTAGAACTCACTATGATCAGGATGGCCGAGGACTCCCAGAGATTCTGCTGACTCTGCCTAAAGTCATTTGCCATCATGCCCCGATTTAGAGCAAGGTTTTTGTGGATTGGCCAACAGGATAATTCTGTTTATAAACATATGCACTTTCATATCTCAACCTGGCCCTGTTACTACCTTTGGGACCAGAGGAGACAAAGTATGTTTGTGGCTTCTAATACATCCCTCCTTCTCCCAAAGTTTGTAGTCCACAGCTGTGCCAATCAGCTGTAGCCTCAGCTATCACCACGCCTACCTTTGCCTTCCAGTCTGACATCTCTACAGTTGAAGGTTTTGATGGGGGAAGTCCTGTACATTTGTTAATAAAGCACTGCTGGCCAATAGGAATCTAGATAGGTGGGACTAGGAGTCCAGGAGGATTCTGGGAAGGAGAAACACAGAGAGTTCGAGATGTAACGCCATGGGGTAGGAGCCCGGAACTATTCTCGGGTAAGAGACATACTTAGATTAACAATTATGGGGTAATTACTTAAGTCAGAGCTAGCCAGTAAGAAACAAGCAAGGCCAACAGCTTCATAATTAATATAGCCTCCTGTGTGTTTATTTGGGACTGATGCGGCTCTGGAACCAGGCTGGCGGGAAGGCTTCTCTCACAAAGAAAAAGCTTCTCTTAACAGGGTTTCCTTGCTTTTGTTTTGAGGTAGCCATAAGCAGAACAAATGAAGACAAATGAACCAAATTACTTTTTTCTTTTATTGAACAGACAAGAAGGCTGATAAAGACAGAAAGAAAAATCAAGGCACAAAGCAGTTTTAAAACTGGGGGGTTTGTGAAGCAAGGATCTGGGTATTCTATAGTAAAACAGAATGGGAGTAACAACCAAATGGATCCGAGAATGCTGTCAGCTAACGAGGTCAGTGGTTCTCATTGAGTATCCTGGAGAGCAACGGTTGCTGGCTTTGTATCTGAAGGTTGTTACCGGCACTATATAGATGCAACCTGAGGCAGAACAAGCGTTCTGCTGCGTGTGGGTGGGTCAGTCCCACACGCAGACTGTTCCGCACCCTCGCGACTACCTAATGTCCTGTTGGACACTTATGCAGGACCTACAGTTTGAGAGAGAACACGTGGTTTCCTCTGAGACAAAATGTAATTTGTCCTGTCTTATTATCACTTCAATTAAGGTGATCCCGCCCTTTCCTTCACCATAGGACAGATAAGGTGCATGGTCTGCTATGGTGTACCCCAATGCCATCTGGTTTGTGTCACCCATCCCTTCCATCTTTCATTTTCCTGTACTTTGTACTGCTAAACTCTTAAGCCCAAACCTATTCATAGTGAGTTAACATCTTTTAAAACCTACAGCATAGTCATGCCTGAGCACTGACATACTGGAATTCAGTGTGTTCATTACATCTAGGTTTCATTCCCATTATAAAACAGGTAGGGCACTAAATTAAGTTTTAATAAACTCATGTAGACTGTATTGCCTATAAATCATCTCACGATGGCAAAAGGCATTATGAAAAAGATCTACCCTTAAAAGGATGAACATGTCTAGTGGGGTCTATGGTTGTCATGACTGTGGGCAGGAGGGCAGTACTGGCATTTAGCATTTGAGAGCGAACTACGCATCTTTCGACCTATTGGGCAGTTCCTCACAATAAGAAATTACTCTGCGCCCTATTCGAGTTTTGAATGCCTCATCAGACATTCATGTACGACCTACAGCTTGTCTGCAAGAATGTATCTCTTCATTCTCCGGACAATCTGTAAGCTCTTTTGTACAGTATCTTTATTACAACGAAGGTATTTCGTTCTTACCATGAACAGATAGTGCTGACATCTGTGAGTGACTTGTGTCAGTAGTTTTTACTCTGATGTCCACATATGTGCCTGGTTTTTCACCTTCGGCCAATTCCTTTCTTCTAAGCTCATACTGATTCATGGTAAGTGTAGGCATCTAACGACTCCATTATGTCTTAGTAATGTAAGTGCCGGAGTTATGACCTCTTAAATTATATTAACTTTGACTTATTTTTTTAATTAATGGAGTTATATGGAGAATATATTGTCTGAATTGCACTTTAGAGATTAAAACAGATTATTGCCTAGTGCAGGGAGGGGTGGGAACCCCAACAGAACCACTGAATTGAAGTAGGTACAAAAGTTACCAAGAACCGCAAGGACTTCAGAACAGGCTTAGGAACGACTCAGACGTGTAAGGGATTGGGGGATGCTGGGAGCCTGGAAGGAAGTCTAGCTTTCTGCTTGCATAGCAGGGAGCAAGTTATACTGTTTAGGGGGGTTGGGGCAGGCGGGTGTGGGGGGGGCGGGACACAAACACACCACGAACCGATCTCTTTGAAGGAGGCAAAGAGTGTTCCATTCTGAGCCTGTTGAGCTGGAGATGGCAGGAAAACATCCAACTAGAAGTCAGCTTACTGCGTAGTTATAATCACTGCATGTCTACAGTATGAAATCTACGTCAGAGAATTGAGTATTCCAAAACAGAAGATACCACATGAGAAAAAAAAGAAAAGGGAAATCAGTGAATTAAAAAAAAAAAAGTGGCGCCGGGAGGTGGTGGCACACGCCTTTAATCCCAGCACTCGGGAGGCAGAGGCAGGCAGATATCTGTGAGTTCGAGGCCAGGCTGGACCGATAGCCTCCAAAACAATACAGAGAAGCCCTGTCTCATAAAACCAAAAAAACAAAACAAAACAAAAAAAAAAAAGTGGCAATGAATGAAAAGAATCCTACTCTAAAAGATTCTGGAGACCTTCAAAGGAAAGCGACTGATGAAAACTCCGACCAATTACCCACTAATGTCGAACGTGTGCCGGAAGGAATGTAACAGGAAAGGAAGAAGTATAACAGGAAAACTGGGCATCTGGCACTGAGTGTCGAGAAAGGGGGTTGGAAGGAAGAGCCTGATTCGCATGTAGTAAGCAAGGAAAAAAAAAAAAACTGGTCCAGGCATCCTAAATGCTCTAAAAAACCACACCCACTACGCTTTCCCAGAAGATGTGGCTAGCAGGTAAAGGACTATGTGGGACACTTTTCTCTGCACAGCCTTTCGCTCACCAACAAATCAGTCTAGTCTCCTTACAAGGCCCAGCCTTCAAACACAGAAGACCTTTCCTGGTTTCTGTATGCAAATCCCAACAACACTGGGGTTTATCAGTGCTGCAACCTAACCTTACTAAAATCCAGATGATTACACACACAAAAAGCCTGACGTGCAAAAGCGTCCTCTGTAATCAGATAAATTAGAGCTCGGACAGCAAGAGTCTAAATGGACAATTAACTCCAGTTAGTTGATTCTGAACTATATGTCGGGGCGTTTATCATTATATTTCAGAGCCAACTCCATGGAATCTGTCTTCTAAGTAAATGCAGAGAGACAGAAATATGTTCCTCAGATCAGTTTCATCGCATGGTAGTATACAGTATTGCGTACTGCTTTTTGTGTCTCAGTATCGTTTAAATGTAGCCTTTAAACTTTTTTCCTCAGCAAGTTACCCAAAGCTGCAATGTCTTATATGTCCCTATTTCAATAAACATTATTACATGTCCCTCAAATTTCCCAAACTAATATCCAGTTCAAATTAAGTGAAACCAAAACAATGCTACATACACAGTGAAAACGAAGAGTACATGGGAAGATCAGATTATGGACAATTTAGAAATCAGCCTCACCAGCAATGCTAAGACGGTGAAATGTCTTCAAAATGCTGGAGTCATGGGGCAGGTTTTACAAAAAACACTGCCTTGTTCTTGGGGGGGGGGGGGACAACCTGGGACTGTGAATTTGGAGAGAAGTTTTGAGAATTGCTGATTTAAGACGTTAGGTAACGGTAGCAAGGAAATGTAAAAGTCTAACTGCTGCCCGGGGATGATTTGGTCCTGGAAGTCAACAGAATGGCCTCGGCGCAGTATGCATCGTTTCTAACTAATTGTGCAGGGTTTCTCTTTTTCTAGCTCCGTGTACTCAATCACATATGCTGGGCAAATCTGCTCTTTCTTGAAGATGACAAAGACGGAGGGATTCAACCTGCTGTCCACACAGCTGTCATAGAGAGCAGGCGCCCTGCTGTATGTCACATTGCCTTCGATGGAGTTTCCAGGCAAGACTCGGGCGACAAACATGACGATGTTTTTGGCCTCGTATGGACAATTCTTGTGGGAATACATGGCTTCTTTTGCAAAGTAATTTCCTAGAAATAACCAGAAAAAGTGGGAAATTGTTATTTAATCAATGAGCACAGGTTACAACGTATGGATGAAACGTCTGCCAATAACACCTTACTGACCCTTATAAGCCCTCTGGAATAGTTAATCCTCATCATATATACCTAACTGAACAGATAGGTGGGAGGCATCTCCAGGGAGGTAACTGGATGACCCACCCTGAATGTAGGTGACATCATTCTAAGGGCCAGAAACCCAGACTGGGTGGAAAAGGAAGAAAACAGATATGCGCGCGTGTGCACGCATGCACACACACACACCCTCCCTACTTCCTGACTGTGGCTATAATCTGATCAACCGAATTACAGTTGTCACGCCTTTCCCACCAACCGTGTAGAGCAGAAGACGATATCAGGTGCCCTGGAACTGGAGTCATAGATGGCTGTGAGCCTCCCTTGGGCACTGGGAATTGAACATGAGTCCTCTGGAAGAACAGATGGCGCTCTTAACCCCAAGTTCTCTCTCTAGCCCATGTCCTGACCACTTGAACAAAGCTGAATGTACAGGTAAAGATCTAAGTTGTTTGGCAAAGGAAACTCCAGACAGTAACATCCAGGCTGCAATAGCTACTGCACACTGTGTTTATTTAGACTTAAAATGAGAATTCAGAGCAAAAAGACAATTAAAAACAGTGCAGTTTGCCAAAGAAAGAATGATAAATTCATTTAAAGGTAAGGGTGGGGCTGGTGGTTAAGAATACTGACTGCTCTTCCAGAGGTCCTGAGTTCAATTCCCAGCACCCCACATGGTGGCTCACAACCACCTAAAATGAGATCTGGCGCCCTCTTCTGGCCTGCAGGTGTACATGCAGAACATTGTATACATAATAAATAAATAAATAAATAAATAAATAAATAAATCTTAAAGAAAAAAGGTAAGGGCGGGGCAGAGCAAACAGGTACCAACAAAGTGGCTAAAATTGTTAAAGCTGTTGTTCCCATTAATCAGAGCCCTTACCTTACTTGGGACAAAGGAAAAAAAAAAAAAAAACACGCCTTGAAGGAAGGCATCTGTCCTCTCTCTGGAAGCTAAAGAGTGGAACGACGCAGACTCACCAGAAGAGCAGTCTACGAACTGAACTAAATCCCCGGCTCTTGCTTTGGAATTTGAGATGGATCTCATTATGGAGCTCAGACTGGCCTCAAACTTAGAGCAATCCCCTGGCCTCAGGCACCGGTCCCGAGTACTATGATTAGCAGCATGCATGCGTGCATGCGCGTGCTCTGGAGTGTGAGCTCCCACCCGTGGGCGTGTGCCTGCATGTGCGTGTTCCTAAGTCAGAGGACACCCTTAGGTGCAGGTGTTCAAGTGCCATCCACATCTCTTCATTGGCTGGCTGAGGCTGGATCTCTCGCTGGTACCGAAACTCGCCACTGAAGCTATGCTGTCCATTCAGTGAGAGCCAGGGATGCACCTGTCTGTTTCCCTGCTGAGATTACAAGTATATGTCATTATGCCTTGTGTTTTTTTTCTCTCATTTGAGTTGTGAGGCTCATACTCGGTCCTCTAACTGAGCCTGGACTACTCTCTCAGCCCTGAACCGTTTCTGTATCTCCCCAGACCCCCCCCCCCCCCACTCTGTCGTTTGGGTTTTCTTACCATTGTAAGGTTTAATCAAAGCAAACTTATTTGCAGGAGAATGGGTCCATCCGGGATCCTTTTGCAGACTTATAGAGTTGGTCAGGAATTGGAAAACGACCAAACATAGAAACAAATCTACCAACCTGCCTCCCGTCTGTGACCGTTCCCTCCAGCGGTCATTGCTATCTGTCCCCTCCTTCCTAGTTGTCCCCAGCACCTCAGTTTCTACCAGCTCACTACAGCTGTGCTCCACACTGATCCAGGGAGTCTCTGAATCACAGAAGCAGTGGCATGCCTTGTGTATTTTATCACGGTTTTATTATATTTAGGACAGGGTCTCACCATGTAGTGCTGGCTGTCCTGGAACTCTGTGTGAACCAGGCTAAACTCCAATTCAAGAGATCTTCCTGCCTCTGCCTCCCAAGTACCGAGATTAAAAGCAAGCACCACCGTCACACATGTTTTATATTAGTTTTCACTGTGATAGGTCTGGTCCCCGCCATGAATTTCTTTCTTTTTCTTTTTCTTTTTTTTTTTGGGGGGGGGTTTTACAAGACAGGGTTTCTCTGTATTGTTTCGGAGGCTATCGTTCCAGCCCAGCCTCGAACTCACAGAGATCCTCCTGCCTCTGCCTCCCGAGGGCTGGGATTAAAGGCGTGCGCCACCACCGCCCGGTCCCCGCCATGAATTTCTATACCATGCTGTGCTGTGCTGTGCTGTGCTGTGCTGTCGGGTCTGACTATGTTACATTCCTCAAACGCCCACAAAGAGTGAATGATTCCTCAACAAAAAAAGGAGGGCAAGCCTCTAAAAGCCCAGTGTGGCTGAGATGAGAAGGGGCCTCTTTTCCCCGTCTTTTTATGTTTTTTGAGAAGGTTTCTCTGTATTGTTTTGGAGGCTGTCCTGGAACTCACTCTGTAGACCATGCTGGCCTCAAACTCACAGAGATCCACCCGCCTCTGCCTCCCCAGTGCTGGGATTAAAAGCGTGCGCCACCACTGCCACCCGGCCCCTCTCCCCATTCTTAACTGGAAGCCATTGGCGACAACAGAAAGATAGTTTGAAAGGCTCTGCATCCACAGACACAGGACAGGAAGAGGCATCTCCAGTAAGTACTAGCGGCAGACGACACAGCCAGTAGACGGAGCAGTTTACAAGTATGAAGACCTTGAGTTGTCCCCAGAGAAGAACAAGACAGAAAGACCCAGAACCAGGGCCTAACACCCACACCCCCAAGTCAAGAGAGACCTGTCCTAACACAGGCTGAAGGTAGCTTAGCTCATTTTCTCCCAGGGCCACGGAAGCCCAGACACGCAGGTTTACAAACTAATGCCAAGAACATCTCAACAAAAGCATCGTGTGCGGGGCTGGGATCATGGCTCTCTCTACTCCAGCACAAACCTTTTCCGTATTTGGTCTCCCGACTCCCGTTTAGGATCCAGTCGAAATTGCTCCTGCAGATATAATCCACGTGGGCACGGCATGTTGCGTGAAACAGAAGCATCTCGTTGCTGTTCCTCATCGCCACCTTCTTCCTGATACACAGAAACGGTGAGATTCAGTAGCAAGAAACGGGGCCAGCAAGATGGCTGCCACTGAGCGGGACAGCCTGGCTTCAATCGCCTCGGACCCACATGGTCAGAGGGGGCAAACGACTCCAGCCAAATTGTCTTGGGATATGCACGCAATGCCCTGCCACCCTCGTACCAAACAAATGTGAAAATAAAATAAAACTTAGTCTACTTTAACAACATGGTCCCGGACAAGGTTGGATTACGTCACCTTTCAAAAGTGTTCCAGAGGTCTTCATTCCATATCCTCTTTATGGTTGTAATCTTGAAATACTTCATGGATGCTTTAAAAAGTTCACTTATTGTGACATACTCCACATCCTGGCTATCGAGTGATACCAACTGAAAAAAAATTAGATGCTTAAATGTAAACTAGGAAATACTAAAAAACATGCGATATCCACACACGTGCACCCCCCCCCCATGACATGACCACCACTCTGTTCTCGGGTGAGATAGGCTGGCTCAGCGTTTCCATATCTGGCTTCTTGTTCATTCTGGTAATGAACCAACAGGCATGGGTATTGTCTGTTCAGGCCAATTTATATGGTATGGGACTTAGTCAGTCCAGAGACCCAGGAAACCCAAACTCCAAAACCAACCAGTGACAGAGCAATCAGAGGTACCTAAGCGACACAATCAGACCCGGGCCAGTTGTGAAGGCTCGACAGACTGGAAAATGGTCTTGTCCTTGCCAGGCTGGTGACACATTAAGACACACGGAGCCAGGCAACTGTGATTCTCTGAGCTCTTGTTACACCCTTATCAGCGTTGCTGTGATCTCCCAGGGTCACCGTAAGGAACCTGCCTAAGTGGCACTGCGTCCCCGAACACAGGGAGATGCCCTGGAAAACAGCCATTCTCTGGGAAAGCGTCCCAATCATACCTAGACACCTGTCTTTAATCTGGAGCTAACCCAGAAACACTCATTCACTCGGATAACACACCCAGACACTGCAAAGCACGTAAAACATGCTTTTACCTTTAAAACAAGTAAAACCAAGTACCTCGTATCTGTTAGAAGGAAATGTGCTAGTATTCCTCTGGGGAGGAGAATCCAGGGTCAGAGCCTCTACCACAGGCATCACTGGCTGCCAGCTACAAATAAAGACAGAAGGAAAATTCACTTGGTTCCCTTTCTACCCTCAACATGCAGCCAGAAAGCCAAGGCTTCCTGGGAAACCCATTGTTGGCACCCCTGAAAATCCCTGGTTCCAGTAACCACAGTTTTTTTCAAAAAGGGCGTAATTAAATAATGTAAATGCTCTTTCCGTTATAAAAACACTGGGCAGGCGAGACAGCTTAGTCCACAAGGTTGCTCGCTTGTAGGCCTGATGGTCTGGGTCTGACTGCTGCTGGGTCCTTCCAGGCTGGATGACAACAGACTCCGGTTTGTCCCCTGACCTCCTGGTGGGTATGCTTGCACACCCATGTGTGCCAAATGATAGGCAGTTAATTCAGAAAGGCACAGTGGGAAGGATCTTCCTTTCTGTGGAAACTGTATTTCAGGGTAACAGGTCAGCTGGAAGACAGGAATGACTGCAGACATCCCTTAGTGTTGGTAAACAGGATAGAAAGATGTTATTTGTTGCAATAAAAACACCCCTGGTGCCGCATTCTTGAACAAAAGCCAGTCTGCACTCAACTAGTCCTCAAAATCATCAGGCATGATGACAAGCCTTTTATCTGACCCAGCACTCAGGAGGCAGAGGCAGGTAGACCTCTGTGAGTCCGAGGCCAGCCTGATCTACAAAGCGAGTTCCAGGACATCCAGGGCCACACAAAGAAACCCGAAAGAAAAACAAAAGAAACAAACCAAACCAAAACAAAGAACCCCAAATTCTAAAAATCTTGCAACCAGCTTACAGAAGCCATCCATAAAATGATCCCATTAGAGTATATTTTGATAGATCAAATTACCCATTTCTTTTTTTTTTAATTACATTTTAAAAACAAGAGGGAAATGAACGTGGAGGTACAAACCTCTAATCTTAGGATTTAGGAGGCAGAACCAGGCATAAGTCTGAGCTCAGAGCCAGCCTGGTGTACACATTGAACTCAAGGCGAGCTAAGACTACATAGAAGCCCCTATCGCAAAAAAACACAAACAAACAAAGTAAGAAAATATGGAGAGACGGACTGTGGAGATGGTTTGCTATAGTGAGGACCTGAGTTCAGATCCCCAGCACCCACATAAAAAGCCTTGTGTGACGGCACCCTCCATAACACCAGCCTAGGAGTGTGCTCCAGAGACTCGCTGGACGGTCTAGCGGATGGGTGAGTGACCATGTCTCAAGATGAAGTGATCGAGGAGAACATACCAATGTCCACTTCAGACCCCACACCTATCAGAATGGGTGAGAACACACAGGCACACGCATGTGTGCACTGCACACACACAAAAACTTTAAAAATAGAGGGTACACTTAAAGAGTTGAAAAGCAGCTTAAGAGATAAACCAGCTATAAAAGGTCATTTCAAAGAGAGTGGGAAAACTGTACATGAAATGAGCGTCATTGCATGCCACTTAATCAATTATTGTCAGTTTTGTTAGATGTCCACGTGTATTGCCACAGAGCCTAACACCAAGAGGAATAAAAGAAATAACCAGAAGCTGTCCGTTCCTCTTCCCAGGGTCTGAAGGTGGGCTTCAGCAGTGAGCAGTGTTGCTGTTAGACACATTATTTGGTGGGGGTGGGGGTGGGGGGGAACAGTGTGGTTCATCCTCAGTGTGTGAACTTAGGTGACTAGCATTGGGTCTCAGACCAGATCACAGTGGAGGACCTGGACACGTCTGTTCCATCCTATAGTACTGGCTCCCACTTCCCTCCTGGACACCACCCCCTGCCCATTCCATGCTTGAGATCTTTCTAGATGTTATTTCCCATGTTGCCTAATGGTAATCCGCCTTGGACTCTTACAACCACAAGAATCTACAACAGTTTGATTTAATACCTGCCTTGAAACCTGATTCATGTAATCACACATCCCCCAGGGGGGGGAAAAAATCCAACTGCAAAGTTTGTCAACAATGAGACTTTACTGAGTTTCACAGCAGACAGGCAAGTTACAATGAATCCCCCACAGCAAAAAACCCGCCTTGAAATGCCCCGTTGGTACAATGATTGCAAGTCAATTAAAACTAAAACCAATGCATTTAGCCAACTTTATCTTTCTCCAAAGCTCTTAACCAGGTTAAGGGCTTAACCAGGCTGCTAGCTCAAGCCTATTTCCCAGCCTCCTGCCCTTTATAAACCACACAGCACAACCAAAGACAAAAAACCCACAGCAAACCAAAAATCCACTGTATACAGTACTTCACAGGCACACTCCCCCATCCAGTCAGTCACAGGTGGAGCAGATGAGGCCCAGAATATGGATGCCTAAAATCCCCTGGGAGTTAGGGGCAAATGCTCGTTTCCTGGTATAGTAACCCTCCCACCCTATACCAGAAATCCAAGGCCTAATAAAAAGGCTGACGGACGGCCTGCTCCCCTAGCCTGGGCCTTTTACTCAGGCCATGTTGCTTAACAGTGAAAACAAAAGCAGGAACTTCCCGAGAAGGCAGCCCCCAGATGCGCAGTGCATGGGCAGCAAGATGAGGGCCTGAGGTGAGGGCCCGAGCAGCTCAGACGCCTGCCAGCTAACCAGCTTCAGAACACTTACTCTGCGCCCCTCCTCCTGTGCTCCACATCCGTCCGCGAGACGAACACTGGCCGTCTGACTACATGCCTCTGAGTCTTGGAAGCTATGTTTGTCTGAATCATCCCTATAGACAGAAAAAATAAAATAAAAATCAAGACTCGGTCCTAGAAAATGACTCTTTCTTCCCAGAGGTCACTTGAATAGCTAACATTCATGACCGAATCTTAAATGTACAAATAGAGAGCGGTTTCAGATAAAAGCAAACAAACAACACATCAACTGTAGAATGTTGTTTCCAATTGTAGACTTGGCTCGAAATTCCAAGAGTGACCTTTTTCAAAAAGCAAGTTGCTATGTATTGTTAGAGTATAAAATAATATCTCACTTGGAAATTAAGCAGCTTCTCATGAAGCCTAACACATCCAGAAACCCCACCCAAACAAATGAAAACCAATGCCTACGTAAAGACCAGCATGGAAGTGTTCACAGGCATTATTACAACCAGACACTGAAAAACAAGCCTGATGTCCACAAATTGATGCATGAGATAAGCTACAGCATGCATTTAACAGAATTATTCAGCAAATCAAAATGAAGAACCACTGTATTTGCAGCAACATAAATGATTTTTAAAGCCATTATTTTGAGTTGAAAGAACCCAGCAATGTGCAAAACGTATACTGTAAGAAACCTATTAATATGAAGTTTTAGAAATAGTACAGCTGGTGGGGTGGGGGTGGTGGTGGTGGTGGCAGCTCACACTTTTAATCCCCGAACTCGGGAGGCAGAGGCAGGCAGATCTCTGTGAGTTCGAGGCCAGCCTGGACTGACAGCCTCCAAAACAATACAGAGAAACCCTGTCTTGTAAAAACAACAACAACAACAAAAAAAAATTAAACCGAGGACTTAAGAGATGGCTTAGGGACTCACAGGGTTCGCTGTTCTTGAAGCATCTGCATTAAAAATCAACTGCATACTTTTGAGGGATTTTGAGACATAGGGTCTCACTGTGTATCCCTAATAGCCATAGGAACTCTCCTGCCTCTGATTCTCAAGTGCTAGGGATTAAAGATGGGTTTTTCTGTGTAATAGTCCTCACTCTCCTGGAACTCGCTCTGTAGACCAGGCTGTCCTCGAACTCACAGAGATCCACCTGCCTCTGCCTCCCAAGCTTGGTTTGGTTTTTTTTTTTTTTTTTCAAGACAGGGTTTCCTCTGTGAAACAGTCCTGGATGCCCTGGAACTCACTCTGTAGACCAGACTGGCCTCAAACTCACAGCTGCCTCTGCATCCCAAGGGGGCATTTTTAAATTGCTAATTATGTGGGAGGACCCACCCCACTGTGGGCAGGGCCATGTCCAGGCAGCCGGAACTGTTCTGAGTAAGAAAGGCGGCTGAGTAAGCCAGTAAGCAGCACTCTTCCACGGTTTTTGCTTCAAGCTTGAGCCCTGGCCTCCCTAAACCCAGGTTGCTTTTGGTCGTGGTGGTATTATCGTAACAGCAGAGATACAAACTAAGACAACTACCCTAAAACCCACTAACACTCAATACTCTTATTTACTGACCGTTTTTTTTTTTCTAGTGGACACAGAGGAAATGAAGCAGTGGGCATATTTCAACATGTCTTGGTGTGAATGCCAGGTTGATCTCCAACATGGTGGGTGTATACTATAGGCTCTGAAGTTACATTGTTTGTGACACAATCAATTGCCTAGGACTCAAAATCAGAGACTGCCAGAAAAAGACTTGAGAAAGCATCCCATCTTCAAGCCTGACCCCCCCCCCCCCCCAAAGGGCAAGCGTCTTGCTACCAGCAGGCATGGTGCCAGAGGGACGGCGCTTTCAAATTTGTTTCCCATGTCTTTCTCACTCAACACAGCAGGCAGACCGGTGGAAGCGACCAAGACCTCCCTACAGAGGTTCACATAAACATGGTGGCAGAAAAACACAAAACACAGCACGGTGGCAGAAAAGCCACGCGCCTACGTGGAGGTGGTAAACGAAGCCAAGAGTAACTTTCTAAATGTCTAAGGGTGCCCAGAGTACCAAGGCTCCATTGTAGTCATCGGTGACTCAATGCTGAAGAACCCGAAGGAGAGAAGGGGCAGGAGTCAGAACATGGATCTGATGGCCACCAGCTCAGAGACACTCTCAGAGACACTTCCCACGCTAAAAGTGACCCTTGACCCTGGGTGTGGCCACGAGCGGGGAGTGTCTACTCTGGTGTGCCCAGTGCCAGACTCCACAGACATTCCACACCACCAAAGACAAGAACTCACCTTGGAAGCTTAATTCGTAGTGTTGTGAGCCGGCCTGAAACTGCACAACTCCCCTGGGACAGGACTGGAAGACAGACTCCAGGTACGGAGAGCTGATGTCGGAACTGAACTGGCTTTCTCTCTATGCACAGCAACAGTAGAGAACACACAGGTAAGGACTTGAGGGTTAGGTTTCTGGGAGATCTCTACCGTTCCATCTTACGGTTTAGTTTGCCTTTAGCGATAGGATTAGGGAGGCATGCTCTCTCCAAAATGAGGCTTAAGAACTTCCTAGCAGACACCGAGTCACAGTGCTGGAGAGAGCACTGTTCTATAGAAACTGATTCTTTCGGAGAGTGCCTGAAGCCCACGGCGGCGATATTCTTTTTATAGTCTCTGCACAATACAAACCCATCTGCACCCACTGGGACGGAATTCGACAGTCTTGCATGGATCGGAACATCTTGGGGAGTTAAGTTTGGAGTTGTAGGAGAATCAAGAAGCCTTTCTAACACTCCTGTTAAGTTCTAAGCTCCAATAGGGAGACTGCTGCTCAAACAGAAATGACCTGACTCCTGTGCCTTCAAGCACAGAAATTAGAACGAGCAGGCCTCCAGCCTGGCACTTACACTGAAGATGTATTGGCTTACTACCCACTGAGACTGTTATGAAAGGAGCTTGACTACCCAAGAAATGTAGGCCTCATCTCTGGTTCCAAGGCATCTAGGAAGGATGTAAACCTCAGGATGGGTAGGGAAGGACATGTGTCAGAACTACGCCACCGCCCCACCGAATCCACCCTGCAGCAGGTACAGGCTGGATGTAAAACTCTAGATTCAGGGGCTCCCAACAGAACAGGTGCAAACCATTCCTGGAGAGCTAGAGCAGAGGGGATGAAGATGGCCACCCTGCCAGCTGCCTACATGGGGAGGGGCTCACGATTTAAAGGTCTGCCAAATGTCCGTCAGGAGAAGGCACTGGAGAAGGAGAAGGCACTGGAGACGCACCTGAGGAAAACACCTTAGGGCCTAAGGCCTACATGCTCTCTCAGTCCTGCAGACCAGCAGGGCTAGAGGAGGGACATTTGTACTCAGACCCTTTTACATAATGCAGGTGGGAGACGGCGCCAAGACAAAAGGTAGATTTCTAAGCTTCAACAGCCGAGGATGACGTCAAACCGCGAAGATGTTTGATGCGGTTCCACTAACACAGAAATGGAAGATGGCCGCCATGACTGGGTGGCGCCTGGCTCCCCACGCCCCTCCTTCTGGCTCGAAGAACCCCCAAAGGGAGCACATCCTCATGAGGTCTTGAGACTTCCTACCCATCTAGCTTCAAGTCTTGTATCCTTCAACTCTCTGTTCAAGCTTTATAGGTCCCGGTCCCGCCCTATTGTGCCTCAACCCACCTTCCCAAACCGCTCGCACGGGGAGCACGCCACAGGGAGCACGCCATGGAACGGACTGAACGGCAGACTGTGCTCCAGGGGGTGGGGGAAGGGCCGAGGGGTCACATTTGAACCTCATGTCCGACACGCCGATGCTACTGGTCTGCCAACCTCGCTTTGACTAACAAGGCTCTGGGGTCTAGTGCAGTTGAGGACAGTTCTGAATTCTGCCCAACACAGACGCAAAAAGCATTCTAAAAACATTGTGCGTTTCTTAACTCCATTGCATTGAACTCCAAAGATAAAACGTGATAGATGGTTTCACTCCCTTCTTGCTTTGTTTCTTATCAGTTTCTAACTGTGTTTGTTTTTTTGAGACATACATCAGGTCTGGCGTCTACCGTATTTCAAAACGGCAGCTGTGCCCTGCTCCTTTTGCTCAATTAGGGTCCTTGAAGGATTCACTGGCAGAAGCGTGTGTGCTGCTAAGACCTTTGGGAACCGCTGCTGAACAGACGGGGAGGGACGGATGCTTGCAGAGGCCGCCCTTCCCACAGCACACATGTCCCTTCCACAGCGTGTCCACGGGGGACAGGGACGTTTGGCAGAGACAGTGGTATCCCTACTGAGAAGTCACTGTGCTTCCCACGGGGGAACTGGGGACTTCCTAATGGGTAGCGTCTCTCTCTGCTTTTTTTTTTTTTTTTTGGTTTTACGAGACAGGGTTTCTCTGTATTGTTTTGGAGGCTGTCGGTCCAGCCTGGCCTCGAACTCACAGAGATCCACCTGCCTCTGCCTCCCGAGTGCTGGGATTAAAGGCGTGCGCCACCACCGCCCGGCTCTCTTTGCTTTTAACAGCTGCATTTCCCCTCAGTGCTAACTCCACGAAGCCTCACGCTGCCATTTCTTGGTCCTTACATTGCTTAGTTTCATCTGTTCCTTGTGAAGTCACTCTGACTTTAAGACCTCTTTCTCTCTCTCTGTTTCCTCACTCTCAAGGATGGGCTGGAGGTGCGAGCCAGCCTTCTGTGTGTCAGCTCCAAATGCAAGGCCAGCAAAGAGGGCAATAATGGGAAGTTAGGGGAGTGATGGCGATGTCTTAACCCACCCTGCCAAGCAAAACACATCTGGTCACTCGCATTTGGTCAGATTTAAATGAACTTGAAGGACTGGACTAGAAGATTCTAGGCCAGCCCACAGTAGGAGGAATACAAGTCTGGGTACACTGAGCGTCTGTCCTTTTGTGTAAAGGTCTCTTCCTTTGATTCACAGGGTTAGAAAAGTTTTTGTTAGCGAGACCTGTTAGAACTTGCGCTACACTGGAAGAAGCGTGTCACTGTGGGGGTGGGGCTTGGAGGTCTCCCATGCTCAAGCCACGCCCAGTGCTCAAGCCCCGCCTCCTGCTTCCTGACATCCAGATGTAGAACTCTCAGCTCCTTCTCCAGGACCACGCGGGCCTGCCTGCACCCCGCCATGTCGCGCCATGATGGTAATGGACTGAACCTCTGAAACCGTAGGCAAGCCCCCTCAATGGAGTGCTTTCCTTGTAAGAGTTGCCATAGTCATGGTGTGTCTTCACAGCAACAAAAACCTAAGACCTAGAGGGAAAAACCTAGAGGGAAGGGGGTACTCACCTCATCCCCATACTGTACGTATTTGTTAAATTCATTCCTCCAGTACCAGAGCCACTTGGTGCTGAAGACGGAATTAACGGACTGTGCATCGAACGAAGGCGTGGAGAGGCGGCGGATGGGGTAAGAGCCACAAGTCATCTTCTGGAAATTGATCTGATGCTTTCCTATCGTGATGCTGAAAGAGAAAGTAGAAAATGAGTAACACTTCAATGACCTGTTTCCCACATTCTGGTGGCCTCTACCACAAACACGGAGTTTACATTTTAGGGCTGCAATGGATCTTTAAAGATCCTTTCTCTATTTCTGTCTCTTTCACTCTAAATAGTACTGGGGAGTGAGCCTAAATTTTCTCTGTATAGCTCCTGGTCTTACACATAATAAAAAAACTGAAATACAGACAGGCAATATGTCTGCACTTCATATGTAATGGTTTCCCAAAGATGTATTCCTGCTTGGCATGGGGTGAGTTTAATCCCAGCACTCTAGTAGAGGCAGATGAATCTCTGAGTTTGAGGCCAACCTGGTCTACCTAGTGAGGGCCTGGCTCAAAAATCTTTTACTTTTTAAAAAAATTTAAAGTTATTTTCATTCTCCCCTCCATGCACACGCACACACAAAATCCCCAGTGGGCTAAAGCAAAGGCTCATCGTGGTTAAAAGCATTTGTCATTCTTACAGAGGACTTGAGTTCAATTTCCTGCACTCACATGGCAACTCATGGCCATTTGCAACTCCAGTTCCAGGGAATCCACACATGCAGGCAAAAACATCCATACACAAAATGAAATGAAAAAAATCTTTACATAAAGGGAAAATGTAAAACGAAGAATAGGTTTGCCCATAAAACAAAAAATTGGCCAGAGTTTAGGAACATTTTTCTTTTTTGAGACAGGGTTTCTCTATGTAGGCTTAGCTGTCCTGGGGTACACTTTGTCAATCATATCATGTCACCACCACCCGGCTTGGAACTCACTCTTTAACTAAAAACAAACAAAAACAGGTTTATTGTAATTCAAGTATTTGAATAATAATATGGGACCTATGAGAGGATTGACAAGGTCAAAGTTATCACAGTAATATTAAAACACTATCTTCAAAAGAAAAAAAGACCAGTCTTGATGCCTCTGGCCTTTAATCCCAGCATTTGGAGGCAGAGGCAGGCAGATCTTTTGAGTCTGAGGCCAGCCTAGTCTACAGAGCGAGTTCCAGGACAGTCAGGGCTATACAGAGGGCTACCCTGTCTTGAAACAACAACACCACCAAAAAAAGACACCCCCCCAATAAAAAACAAACAATACTATCTGGCTTTTTTGCCTCCCTATTTTTCTGTGTATAAGACAGTTTTCTTTGTTTTTTAATTTTATTTACATTGGCATTTGGTCATGGGTGTTCGGTTCCCTGGAACTGGAGTTACAGACAGTTGTGAGCTGCCATGTGGGTGCTGGGAACCGAACCCGGGTCCTTTGGAAGAGCAGTCAGTGCTCTTAACCACTGAGCCATCGCTCCAGCCCTAAGGCAGCTTTCTGGAGGTTATATAATACATAACTCCAAACCAGATTTGATTTTTATTTGTGTGTATGTATGATGCTTTGTAGGTATGATTGGCGTGAGTATATATGTCATGTATGTGTGTATGATGTGTGTGTATATGATGGACACGTATGTGTGTTGTGCATGTATATACTGTGTGTGTGTATAACATGTATATTGTGTCACGTGTGTATGTGTATGACATACATGTGTGTATGGTGTGCCCATGCAGGCACATGCATGGAGGTCAGAGGGCTACACTTAGAAGTAGTTCTCCCCTTCCACAGTGGGTTCTGGGGTTGAACTCGGTTTGTCCCGCTTATAGGGAAAGCACTTTCATCAACCTTCCAGCTCCAGGTATTATTTTTAGTATGATACACTGGTAGCTGTAACCCACACACAGAGATCCTCAAAGTCTCAAGAGTGCTAATGTTGCTGAGATGAACGCTTGAGAATGGCTGTTCTATGCAAGGGCTCTTAGGTCCTTGGTCAGGACAGATCAGGGGGACCTTCGGTAACAGTGGATGATAATGTTGGTCACCGCAGGTCAAGGGAAGCAGGGAAAGCAAGAATACCGCTAAACACTGCCCCCAACAATTCTATCTCTAAGCATCGACAGTTTCAAGGTTGAGAAACTGGGTTTACACAGAGGGAAAAGGTCTTACCTGGGGAGGGAAGAAAGAAATGTCTCATCTCCATGAGAACATTGAATGCCGCCCTCTAGTGGCAGAACGCAGCCACAAGGGACATCTACCCAAAGTTAATAAATTCCATACTGGACGAAAAGCATGCACACTCCCCTCTTGCACACCCTTGCCCCCGCCAATCCCAGCAAATGCAGGAATATAAGCAACCCTCTTGGAAACCTCTAGAACACAGAGATGGCACACAAAAACGTAGGGACACAACAAACTTCTCTACTAGAACACATGGGATTCTTCAATCACAAGGGTGTGCGAGTGTATACTCGAAGGCTAGAGGTCAACCCTGGATCCACCACGGCGTTTTGAAGACAGGGTCTTTCACTGGCCTGGATCTCACCAAGGCTAAACTGGGAATCACCTACCTCAACTTTCCCAGGGCTGGGATGACAAACACACCCTCCTGTGCATTCTGGGGATTGAATTCAAGCACTTTACTGCCTAAAGATATCTCCCAAGCGTCAAATCTTATTTTTAAATTAAGAAATGAAGCCAAGGCTTATTTGTCCTGAATCACTTCACATTTCTTTTTAAAGTGTATGTGTGCGTGCGTGCGTGCGTGCATGCATCTACATGCATGTAGAGACCAGACAACAACCATGGCTGTCCTTGATAGCTTCCACCCTGTTTTTTTAAGACAGGGTCTCACTGGCCTGAAGTTCACCAAGCAGGCAAGACTGGCTGATCAGCATACCCTAGGGATCCATCATCCCCGTTTCCTCCCCAGTGCTAGGATCACAAGCACACACACAAATCTGCCTCCCTCTCCCCTCCACCAAGAGCTGAAGACCCAATTCAGGGCCTTGTGCTGGTTAGGCAAGAGTTCTATACTGAGTTAACTTTTTTTTTATTTGTTGGTTGGTTGGTTTTTGTTATGTTTTTTGACAGGGTTTCTCTGTGTAGCCCAGCTTTCTTGGACCTTGCTTTGTAGACCAGGCTAGCCTCAAGCTCAAGAGACCCGCCTACCTCTGCCTCAGGAGTTCTGGGATTAAAAGCGTGTGCCACTATGCACAGGGGTGTCTCTCTGGCTTTTTTAAAAACATGGGTTTGAGGGATATAACTCAGGTTCTCATACTTGTAAGGCAAGCTCTTACCAACGGAACTGTCTGTCTCCTCAGCCTTAATTTGGTGTATTTTTTTTTTCAAATGCTTTTTTGGTATGTGTCACACCTGTATGAGTGTGGGCACGCATGCCCCGGCACAGGAATGATGGGTAATGGGTAAAGGACAAGTTGCCAGATGCTCTCTTTCTGCCTTACTGAGACAGGGCCTGGTTTTTTATTATGGGATATACTCACGGCTAACTGGCCGCCAGCTTCTGGATATAGGAATGTCGGGTTCCAGACGAGTGTCACCTCATCTGGCTTTTTCACAGCTTCCAGGAATCAAACTTAGGTTGTTGGACTTTTGGGACAAGTGTGCTTTCATCCAGCAAGCCATCTTCCTGGCCTCACTGACTGTGTTAGATAGTGATGAGCTATTCAGAGTATGAGCTGTGGGCTGGAGAGGTGGCTCAGTGGTTAAGAACACTGTTTGCTCTTCCAGAGGGCCTGGGTTCAATTCCCAGCACCTGCACGGCAGCTCATAACTGTCTGTAACAATAGCTCCAGGGGATCTGACACACTAAATAACACCAATGACCATAAAATACAATTGAATGATTTTTTGTTTGTTTTAAGGTATGAACTAGCTGGGTGGTGGTGCATACCCTTAATCCCAGCACTTGGGAGGTAGAGGCAGGCAGATCTCTGTGAGTTTTGAGGCCAGCCTGGTCTACAGAGTGAGTTCCAGGACAACCAGAGCTGTCTCAAAAAAGAAAGAGTAAGAAATAACCTCTGTATAATGTTTATCTATAGGAAACACTTACAGATCAAACAACCATATGTCACTTTCATGTCACTCAAGTTACTAACTATTTCTGGAGTCCCTAGCATTAGGCGGCTCGGTGTACCACAGGCTGAGCTTGAAGCTTCCCTCTGTTCCAGTTGTAGACCCCATTAGCCACCAACTTACACCTCATTTTGGGGATCACAATAGGCCCGCTCGAAGTCCTCCATGGCCTGGAAGTCAACCCAACAATTGTCTAGGAACACTTGCCACCGGTAGGGCAGATGGAAGTGGCTCTTGCTGCAGTTGCCTACAGTGACAGAGAAGGGTTTACAGTTAAGTCTTGGGGTTCCTATCCCATTGGGCCCCAGCCCCCATTGAGTCTCTGTGAGTTGCTTGTCAGCCAATAACCACAGGTGCATCCTGTTTTTTCGTCCTGGCTGACAGCCCTGGCCTTGCCCCAATGGCATCAATCTCTAATTATGAAAACAGAAACTCTTACACCTGGGTGTTTCTCCACTGTGCTGTAAGTCTGTATATAAGGCTGCTCCCTCCTTGTAATAAAGACACACATACGCATTCTCCTAGCACAAACGGCCGGACGTCTTGTCTTAAATCTCCAGGCTTTCGCCCGACACGATGGACTTGCTCCTGGCATTAGGTGCCACACTATCCAACTTCACTGTTCAAGTTCACTGCTGACTTCCTGTCAAGGCCAGCCTATCCTACCTGCCAGGGGTTTCACCACCATCCATTCACTCATGCGGACCCCTGCTTGGGCCGCACGTCATCTACTCTGGCTCTAATGGAAACCCACTAGAAGATAAGAGTCTGGGCTTGAGAGATGACTCAGTTAAGAGCACTGACTGTTCTTCCAGAGGACCCGGGTTCAATTCCCAGCACCCACACACTGTGTCACGGCTGTCTGTAGCTCCAGAGGACCAGACGTCCTCTTCTGGCCTGGACAAGAAACGCTAAAGCAAGTGGTGCCTTCTTTCTTTGAAGCCTTTATCTAAGAGTCATCGTAGGATGACTGGGATGAATCCCAGCAAATATTCTCATTCCATTATGATCTGACTGGTTATTTCAAATTCCTTAAATTCTGATACCCACTTTGGGCTAGACGCCAGGTATTTGCTTATTTTAAGCAGCCTTCCTGTTTGTGGCAACTCTGATACGCACTTTAATTACAGACACTGAAGAAAAGTTGCATTGCTGTTAAGCTTACACTCCCAGCAAAAGCACTGAAAGAAGCTAGAATGCACACTTGCTGAGAAAGGAACTATTATAATCCCAACCCACGGGAATACAGGAAGCGGCTTTTCAAATTACCAACGTTACATCTGGATCACTCGTTTCAATTTTGAAATTCCATGGAGGTGTGCTTTATTTACATCATTCCTTCCCCTTTCTTCTCTCCAGGGCCTCTTGGACCTCACCTCTTGGACCTCACCTCTTGGACCACCTTGAATCCATGGCCTCTTTTTCTTTAATTATTATTGTTGTCATGTACATGTGTATGTGTGTGAATATAGAAACATAGTCTGCTGGGATTTTTTGTTAATCCAGACGCCCATGCATGCTAGAAGAGGGCAATGGATCCCCAGAAGTGGATTCCAAGTGGTTGTAAGCTGCGGTGTGGGTGCCAGGAACTCCATCCAGGTCCTTTACATGAGATCAGTAGGCGCTGTTAACCTCTGAGGCATCTCTCCAGCACCTTAAATCATTGTAAAAATGTTTAAAAGATACATGGCTACTTTAAAAATAAAAAGGCACCACAGAGGTGTAACGAGCATTCTTCCTGCCAGCCTGGTCCCAGAGGCGCGTCAGTCCCAAATGAACACGCAGGACATTACATTAACTCTGAAGCTGCTGGCCATTTGCTATGGTTTCTTGTTGGCTAGCTCTGACTTAATTATTAACCCGTAACTGCTAATCTGAGTTTTTCCACGTGGTCTTCTCTTACTGTAGAAAGGGTCTGGACCTCTTACTCCTCTGAGTCCTGCATGGTGACTGCCTGTGCCTCCGTTTCCCAGAATCTTCCATCTCTCCTAGTCCCACCTGTCTTGATTCCCTATTGGCCAACAGTGCTTTATTCATCAACCAATAAGACAAACATATACACAGAAGGACTTCCCCCATCACAGAGGGACTCAAAGAATGGGACTGCTTGAGATTTATGATTTTTAAAAAATCACCAACACGGAAGGAGGAGGAGGAGGAGGAAGAAGAGGAGGAGAAAGGGTGCTCTGGAGGAGGACAAGTTGTTTTCCTCAGTGGTGGGGACACTGGTAAGCACCTGTGCCCTGTAAGTAACCAAACTCGACCTTGTACAAGTAGTCCTGATTAAACTCAGTGTCTCATTAGCAAAAAAAAAAAAAAAAAAAAAGGGGGGGGGGTTTAGTAGAGAGAAGAATGAAAGAGAAACGGGTTAGTGAAAATAACAAAATTCATCATATGATGTTGTCAAAGTTTTGAAGAAAAAGGACAAGAGAGTATAGACTGAAGGGAGTAGAAAAATAGCCAAGCCACAATGGAAAATGTTTTCTACAAAAATCAAACAGAAGTACCCTATGATCCAATTCCTTATCTTTTTACCCCAAAGCCGCAGCGTAGTCTTGAGCAAGCGCTGGTGTGTACCATGCTCACAGCTGTATTCCAGAGTGGCTAAGGGATCTTTCAGAAAACGCAACTTACTCTGTAGACAGCCCTTATGCAGATAGTCCTGACAGATCTCCTTTGGCCCATGATCATCCGTCTTAAGGGATGCAGAACTCGTGATGGGGCACGGGGGATCTGCAAAACAAAAGAGGATGTGCATGTGTGCCAACACCGAGGGCGCCTGCCCTCACAGCGAGAAGGCCATCAGAAATGGGGTCTACATTCTCATGCACCCTGGGGTTTACGGGCTGCCCCTAAGAGCCTACACAGCCCCTCTGCAGAGTCAAACAGAGGCACTAGTGTACCAGGGACCCCTGGCTATGAAATGAGGCAGCTCTGAGGCAGGTAACTCAGTGCCATGGTGGTGTGTGTGTGCCTTCCTGTGCCCCCTCTGTGACTTACACTCAGAGTCTGAGGTCCCCCTTGAGGGCTTATGAGCTGGGTTCACAGAGGTACGTGCCGAGTTCTTGTCAAGGGTCCCAGGGGCTGCGACTCTGTGGCTTGAGGAAGTTGGGGATGACTGAGGCAGCCTGCTGGCTTGTACAGGGGCAGTAATCTCCTCAGGCACGGCCAGGACCTGGCCTCTCAGACTCTGACCTCCGGGGCATGTAGCTTCTTTTCTCCCGGCGACTGCTGCTTTCACACCAAAGCCAGCGGCACTACTTTTAGAGACATCAGGAGTTCCGTTCATAACTTGACTAGAGCCGTTTGGTTCGCTGTGGGTAGATTTACTAGCCCAGACTGCATTTCCTCCGTATCTACCACTCAGGAACGCTGCGTCTTGGCTGCTGTCGGTGATTCTCCCGGTGGTCTGGGGACCCTGAGGGTTAGCTGCACTCTTCTGATGGCCGCTAGGTAATATCATTTCTCCCAGACCGTTGGCTGTGGCCCTGCTACCTAGAATTCCTGAGGCTGTTCCTTCCATAGTCGCTCCACCAGCATAGCTATCAAAAAAGGGGGCTTGCAGGACGTCGTGGACCTCATTCTTGCTCTTGACATCTATGCGGTGTCCAGAAGGCTTATTTGTTTTCGTGGCCATGGCTTCAAGTGTCTGTGTCACATCGAGATGAAGGCCGCTGGCAGCTTGATTTAAGAATGAATCAGAAGGACTCCTAGAAAATAGGCCGCCTGGGTCCCCATTCTCTGAAAACTTCAGGCCCGCTCCCATTTGGCTGGCTCCTCCCATTTGGCTGGCAGCCTTAGGTGGAGCGGCGGGAAGCTGTGCACAGTCTTGAGTGCCCAGGTACTTGAACTTCTGAGTGACATCCGCAAACACATCCTCCAGGGGATCCTTACAGCTAGAGGCATCTGGGCTCGGTGGACCAGATTCCGCAGGTGAGACAGTTGGGAGAAATTCTAGACTGTTCTGAAAGAACCGGTCTCTGCTTTTGCTTCTGCCTCTGGCCCTGCCTCTGCGATATGGTTGGGGAGCTGAAAAGAGAAACCGGAAAGAGAAATTCAAGCTCAGGTCCTACTTTGACGTTCCTTTTGCTCGTCCAGCCGTGTGAGCTGAGTTTCCTAACGGGGGTGGGGGGGGTGGGGGGGCTACTACAAATCTTAAGATGGAGCTGGATATGGCTCACATCTTCTGGGAGGAACACGCCAGAGTGTGAGGTCTGGGCGCGTGAAGTACATGCATGGTGTCTGTGTGCTCATGAGAGCGTGTGTGTGCTGTCCTGGTGGAGGAAAGGGGACAACAGTAACGTAGTTAAAGCAAACCTCCTCCTATCGAGATGGCCAACCCCACAGGTGAACTAGAAGTGACAATAAACACAGATCTCCCCCCACCCCCCACAGTGAACCACATGGAACACATCAAAACCCGCCTCTGCAGACACCCCTGCTCACAGAACTACGGAGCGAGTGCACTATACTCAGCTCAAAAACGTGGCTTTGGATTTAATCTTCCCGGTGCTGTTGAGTGTTCTAAGCATGACTCAAAGCCCCTTGTAATAAAAACTGCCTAATACGTCTGACTTTCTTGCTTGCTTCCTTGCTTTGGTTTCTCAAGACAGAGCTTCTCTGTGTACCAGCGCCCTGGATGCCCTGGAACTCACTTTGTAGACCAGGAGGCTGGCCTCAAGCTCACAGAGATCCACCTGGCTCTGCCTCTCAGTGCTGGGATTAAAGGAGTGAGCCAAGCCTGCTGCTTAAACATTTCCAAGCCCTTATGTTTGAGTGAGGTTAATAAATAAACCTGCCGTTGTTCATAGTTTTGCTATGAGAAATAATGATGAAGTATCCTGGGCAGGTGTTTCCTGTAAACTATAAACCATTCCCAAAACACAAGATGTAGTTTTTCATTGCGTAACACCTTAGTTCAGGTGATCGCTTCCTCCTGTGTCTACTTTATAAAGACAAGGAGGGCCGGTGAGATGATTCATTTGGTAAAAGTGCCTGCCACAAAGCCTGAATAACCTGGGTTTAATCTGAGGAAAGAGAGAACTCCTGTAAATTGTCCTCTGAGCTCCGCATATGTGGCTACACACCCCCAAATAATATAGTTGTGCTGGTTAGTTTTATGCCAACCTGACACAGCTGGAGTTTTCTGAGAGGAGGGAAGGTCAATTGAGGAAAATGCCTCTAGAAGGTCTAGCTGTGGGACATTTTCTTAATTAACGATTGATGAGGGAAGCCCAGCCCACTGTGGGTGGTGCTGTCCCTGGGCTGGGGGTTCTGAGTCCTATAAGAAAGCAAGCTGAGCCGGGCGGTGGTGGCGCACGCCTTTAATCCCAGCACTCGGGAGGCAGAGGCAGGCGGATCTCTGTGAGTTCGAGGCCGGGCTGGACCGACAGCCTCCAAAACAATACAGAGAAACCCTGTCTCGTAAAACCAAAAAAAAAAAAAAAAAAAAAAGACGATAAAGCAAGTCTAGAAATATATGCTATTTATTGTTTTATATATGAGAACAGTTTCAGAGAATGTGCTGATAGACATATAAAATGTCACAATACACCAAGCCACACACCAGATGTTCTAACCACAAAAGGTTCACGTGTGGTGACACTTAGGAGATGGCAGTCGGATCTCTTGTGAGTGTGACGTCACCCTGGTTTACATAGTGAGGCCCTGCCCAGCTAGTACTACATAGTAGGGTTCTGCTTCAAAATGACGAATAGATAGATAGATAGATAGATAGATAGATAGATAGATAGATAGATGTCTGTGGCTGGCAAGATGGCTCTCAGTCACCAACCTGAGTTCACTCCCCAGGACCCACAAGACTGAAGGAGAACTGACTTTAAAAATTACCCTCTAGGGCCGGGCGTTGGTGGCGCACGCCTTTAATCCCAGCACTCGGGAGGCAGAGGCAGGCGGATCTCTGTGAGTTCAAGGCCAGCCTGGTCTACAGAGCGAGTTCCAGGACAGCCTCCAAAACAATAGAGAAACCCTGTTTCGAAAAACCAAAAAAAAAAAAAAAAAGAAAATTACCCTCTGACTTCCTTATGAAATAAATAACTGCAATTAAAAATCAGGTGTGTGCATAAGCGTCCATCCGCACACACAGAGAAAATGAAATAAACATTTTGTTTAAACTGTCTTGCTTTTGAAACAAGATCTCTCTATGTAGCCCTGGCTGTCCTGGAACTCAATAGAGATTTATCTGCCTCCCTATAAAGGTAGGCAGGCGAACGCGCGCACACACACACACGACAAATAATTACTTTAAAATCAGGGGCTATAGCTACTTGTAAATAATTATTTCAATTCTGTTAGAGTGGCGTGTGGGAGGGAAAATGGGGTTCCTGTGTAGTGACACTGAGGTTTCACGGGTAGATTTCTTTCCTTGTAACTTCCGTCTATTTGGAAGTTCTCACAACCGAAACGGAAAAGGGCACACACCTCTCACGGCAGGCGGGTTCCTCCGCGAGTGCTTGTTGTTGCAGATGTCCTGGATGTTCTGGACCACATCAGAGCTCAGCCCGTGCTCCTTCATGATGGCCAACACCTTTCTGTCCATCAGGTTGTGGGACCTGAGGCAGTTGAGGTAACTGCAGTTGCCCCGGGTGAAGTGCTCACAGATGTGGAGTCTCTCGCATGGCTGTGGCTGCCCGCATACCTGCTTCCGGCCCTCGCCTTTGTAACTTTTGCATATCTACAGAGGAGAGAAGAGGCAAGAGCATCTTCTATCTGCCATGCTGGTTAAAAGCATGAGCCCCCTTCCTGCAAAAGCAGGGGTGTGCCAAGAAGAAACAGTGCATGCAGAGCCCATCTCTGAGGAGACGATTGAACTGGTGACTTATTTGGGGACAGGTGAGAATGTGCGGACCAGTTCACAGATGACATCGTGCGTGGTGGTGTATACCTACAGGCCAGCTCTCAGGAGGCCGAGGCAAAGAGGATCACCAGGCAAAGAGGATCACCAAGCTCAATGCGAAACCTCACATTTGAAAGAAAAGAAACATAAGGGGGAAAAAAGTGACGAATTTGATAATTCTTGGAAGACTCAAACTCATAAAGGAGCTCAAGAGGAAGTCTAGTCTGGATCCTGACTTACTCTACAGTTGAAAAGGCATGTGTATCTTACCTGCAACTTTGGGATTTTGTCATTTGGTCTCTGGCAGCCAGAGCAGGACTTTTTCAAATGTAAGGGTAGTGGGAAGAAGAGGCAGAGGAGATGGAGGCAGGTCTCACTATGCAGCTCTGGTTGGCCTGGAACTTTCTATGTAGACCAGGCTGGCCTTAAACTCCTTGAGGCTCACCTGCTTCTGCCTGCCAGGTACTGGGATTAGAGGTGTACACATCCCTTCCCCATTTTGTTTTTGTTAGCTGGGATTAAAGGCATGCACCACTGCACCCAGCCTTGGCTTTCAGTTTTTTTTTTTTTTTTTGAGATAAGGTTGCATTATGTAGCACAGGCTAGATTTCAACTCACAGTCCTCCTCCTCCTCTGAGACCCCCAAATGCCGGGACTGCAGGCAGGCACGCACCACCACAACCAGCTCAGGTAGGAAACTACAGTCTATCTACAGCACTCGTTCTCAACCTGTGGGGCACGACCCTTTTGCGAATGGCATGTTGGATATTTACATTATTATTCAAAACAATAGCAAAATTACATTTCCGAAGCAGCAATGAATGATTTTGTGGTCGGGGTGTCACTACGACATGAGGAATTGTATTGAAGGGTCACAGCATTGGGAAGGTTGAGAACCACTGCTCTAGACACACATTTGCACACGCAACTCTGCAGAAACGGAGTTTCCCAGTAAAGGCAGAGATGAGAGCTGGGCAGTGGCGGGGCACACCTTTAATCCCAGCACTCGTGAGGCGGGGGGGGCGCGGGGGGCGGCCCACGACCTCATGGACCCAGCAATCCTATAGTTTGTTTCTTTTTCAACAGCAGAAGGAAGATAGTTGTTCTGCCTGCCTGCCTAAAATCTGCTGTGAAGCAGAGATAATGACAAGACAGAAGACTGTGTTGTACAAAGCGAGGAATGAGAGGCTAGTATTTAAACCGTTAAGACGAGGAGCCCTGTATGACTCGTGACAAAGCTGAACTTGCAGCCATTTGAAAGATGGAAATGTTTTGGTCTAATAGGCTGTGTAAACTGGGTCTGCCTGGATGCCTGGGAGAGTCTGGATTTGGAGACAGAGGCTGACTCCAGGAATAGTGATGGAGTCACATTGGTGGCCTCTAAAACCAGATGAGTGCATGTCACTGCTACAGAATCTGAGTCTAGACCACAGTTCTCAAATGTGGTATCTGGACCATAAGCACCTGGACACAAACTAGAAATGCAAATCCATGCTGGGCGTTGGTGGCGCACGCCTTTAATCCCAGCACTGGGGAGACAGAGGCAGGCGGACCTCTGTGAATTCGAGGCCAGCCTGGTCTACAGAGCTATTTCCAGGGCAGTTTCCAAAACAACACAGAGAAACCCTGCCTTAACAAACAAACAAAAAAGCAAATCCAGGAGCTGGGTTGTAGCTTAGCTGGTAGAGAGACTGCTTACCTACTATACACAAGGCCCTGGTTCAATTCTTGGTAGCATGTAAACCAAGCATGACTATAACATGAGCCCTCAAGAGGTGAGAGAATAGGTTTGTTTGAGGCCGACCTGGGCTACATAGTGTGATCTTGTCTCTAAAACAAAACAAAGACCAGGTGAGAAGGTGAACACCTTGGTCCCAGCACTGGGGAGGCAGAAGCAGGTAGGTCTCTGTGAGTTCAAGCTACACATCCAAGGAGCTGGGGCATATAGTACACAGCCTATAATCCTAGCATGTAGCAGCTAAGGCCTGAGAGCCAGGAGTTCAAGACCAGCCTAGAATAGTTGAGTGAATTTCAGGTCATTTTGAGCTACTAAGGTCAAATTGGGGGGCGTTAGTTCTCTCCTTCCATTGTGTGGGTGCCAGGGACTGAATCCAGAGATCATCAGGCTTGGAGACAAGTTCCTTTGTCCACTGTCCTCAACAACTCATATTTTCTTTAGGACAGGGGAGTGTGTGTCTTGTCCACAGCTTTATTCAGTATCTGACATACTACCTTGATGCATGCAGGCACTTATAAATCTTTTTTTTTTTTTTTTTTTTTTTTTTTTTGGAGACAGGTTTTTCTCTGTGTAGCCCTGGCTGGCCTGGAACTCACTGAACTCACTTTGGACACCAGGCTGGAAATCACAGACATCCAGCTGGCACCTCTAATCTTACTAGATGCAAAACAACAGAGGCCACGATGCCAGGTGGGGTCTGAGCTCTGTCCAAGGTCACAGTGGGGGTTAAAGGCAGAGTCAGGACGGTGAAGGATGCTAAAGGGACTGGGATCCTCTAGAGAAGAGAGGGGGAGGGCAGGGAGAGGGGAGGAGAAAAGAGCAATGGGGCGGAGCATCCGAAGCACCTAAAGGACACTAGAGACTCAGCATGTCCCGGTCCCCCGTCGTGTACCCCCCACCCCCGCAACGCTCTCACACAGCGTCCTAACTTTGTAGCGCCTGGAGCTGGGCGGCCACCTCAAAGTCGCCTGTTGTGCCAAGTTTTTAAGTCCTCCAATGGTCGGCTCCTCAAGAAACCTCCACTGGCTGTTTTGTGTAATCTGACGGGGAAACCCGAGTTCCAACCCTTCCCTTGCAGCTTCTGCGGCTCTCCCCCTCTCCCTACACTCCTCTGCCTTCCTTTCTGCGTCAGGCTGGCACGGGCCTTGTGTTAGGGATACACATAAAGGACTCTCAACGAGGGTTAGTCTCCGGTCAACAGCAGCAGACCCTCCACTCACCTATGCAGATGAGACTTCACCATCTAACCCCGCATCCATCTTCCCTCTATGGGCCATTCAGCCAGGAACTACATTTCTCAGCCTCCCTTGCAGCTAAAACAAGCACATGATGAGCACTGGCCAATGAGATGTAAGCAGATGCGCCACACACCACGACTTCCCATCTACAATCCCACTGACTAAAAACTGCTGGCAAGTGAGAAACTACTTTCTGGAGACAAGAGCTATTCACCTAGTGTTGAGTCCCCAGAAGACAGTATAGAACCCTCTGGCCACCTTGCCTTGTAACTATCTACATGCCCGTATTCGGGCAAGACCCAGAGGCAGCACACTCCTCAAACAGTCCAGATAGCAGACATTTTAGGCTCCTCTGGCCATTGTGTCTCTGTTGCAACTTCTCAACTGACTCCTGGAGCGGGAGAGCAGCAACAGACAATCTGTAGACACGTCAGCACGCTGGCTATGTCTCCGTAGAGTCTTATTTGTAGGCTGGTGGCAACCCAGGTTTGGCCTCTGGGCTATAGCCTGCTAACCCTTGGAGAGGATATCAAGGAGTAAAAAACTTAAATGCATGTTTTTTTAATCACCGAGTTTAGAGAAGAAGTCTCTTGTACAGCAATACAACATGTACCCCTATCTTTCCAACTTCAATTCAAAGGTCACCCTGATGTAATAAAGCACCAACCAATCTGACTATCACTATGTCTTCAACCCATCCTGTTCACAATGGAGTCCCTGGCACCTTAGTGGAGGGGGGATCCCGCCCCAAATCTATTCAGACAGGATCTCACCAGATAGCCCTGACCGGCCTGGAACTTGCTAGTCTCAAGCTCACTTAGATCCGCCTACCTCTGCTTCCCAAGGTTGCTGGGATTAAAGGTGTGCATCACCAGGCCTGGGAATTGGGACCTACCTCAGGCATGAAAAACGGGTCGCTCTGGACCAGGAGTACTGCCAGTTCCTCTTGGTTAAGCCCAGAGAGCTCATGATTCTTCAAAACCTGGAAATTCTGTTCCGAGAGAACTTCATGGGAATATTTGCAAAGGTTCCTGGAAAACAGGAGAACACGTGTCAGTCGTTGCACCTCACAAGGGACAGGAACAAAAGGCAACCACAGACACATGACATGGATGTAGGAGGACTGGGGGGGGAGGCATCTTGAGTTCTAAGGGAAGGGAACGGGGGATGAACGGGATTACCAAGAGGGTAGGCAAGGGCTGGGAGAGGGGAACAGGTAAGACCAAACCGTGGTGGTATGCATGCATGAAAACGCCATGATGATACCCATTACTGCCGGGCAGCGGGGCCATACGCCTTTAATCCCAGCACTCGGGAGGCAGAGGCAGGCGGATCTCTGTGAGTTCGAGGCCAACCAGGTCTACAGAGTGAGTTCCAGGACAGCTAGGGTTGTTACACAGAGAACTCCCTAACGACAATTTCATTACTTCATATGCTAGCCTAAAAAGAACTGAATTTTAAAAGAGTGGATTTCCGCCGGGAGTTGGTGGCGCACGCCTTTAATCCCAGCACCCAGGAGGCAGAGGCAGGAGGATCTCTGTGAGTTCGAGGCTGAAAACAATACAGAGAAACCCTGTCTCGAAAAACCCAAGTAGGTAGGTAGGTAGGTAGATAGATAGATAGATAGATAGATAGATAGATAGATAGATCGTGGATTTCCATGGTAGAACACCTACTTAGCATGTGTAAGGTAGATTAAACTTTCGCTCAGCAAAAATCAATGATGTACCCTTCAGCAATTAAACACAGATTAATCAATCCTGCAGAAAGAATGCAGTTTTCAAAAGTACACTGGTCCAGCCAGATGGCACAATGGGTAAGGGTAAATAAAGGTTTGGCAACACACCTGGTGACCTCAGCTTGACTGCACATACACAAATACAAATCTGATGACCTCAGTTTGACTGCAAACGCACAAATATGTACTTAAAACAAACAAAAACAAGGTCTCCCTGCACAACATCAGCTGGCCAGACATCTGATACCGGACCATGCTGGTCTCAAACTCATGGTGATCTGCATGCCTCTGCCTCAGAATTAAAAGAAAGAAAGGAAGAGGAAATGCATGAAAGAAGAAAGAAAAAAAGAGAGGAGGAGGGAGGGAGGGAGGGAGGGAGGGAGGGAGGGAGGGAGGGAGGGAGGGAGGGAGGAAGGGAGGGAGAGGATTGTGTGGCACATGATTTTAAACCCAGAACCTGAGAGGCATAGATGGGAGGTTCTTTGTGAGTTTGAAGCCAGCCTGATCTACATAGCTAGTTCCAGGCCAACCAGGGCCACAAAGAGATTCTGACTAAAACAAAACAAAACAAAAACTTATTAGTAAGTAAAATAACGATGATGATGATAACAATAATGACATATTCACCAAACAGCTAAAAATGAGGAGGGTGCACAATTCTTTACACATGGGCAGGTCATATCTGACCTCAGCTGTCACAACACCTCTTCTGCACATAGCTGTGAAAGAAGAGACTTGCCGATGGCCTAATGGTCAAGAGCCCTCAACGCCCTTCCAGAGGACCGAGTTTGGTGCCCAGCGCCCACACCAGACGGTTCACCCTTGGAATCTCTATTGTGTTTTGACTAATCTGTTTCATTTCGAATCAATGGTGATCATTTGTGTGTCCTTTACAACATAAAAAATTAACACAACGGTTCACGATAATGTCCGCCTACTCCTGTTCAGAATGTGCCTAACTACCTTTGTACACACAAATGTTAACCCAGAGTGTCTCAGTTTCCCCAAAGTAGCACATAATTGTTACCTCTATAAATGATACTGCATTTCCCCTGTGTCATGACTGCGTTAAAATGTTTGGTTCTGGGACAGATAATCGCAGCTGGTTTATCCAAGGCTTATTCCAATTTTAATTAAAATTTTCCCTTAACAGTTGTCCTTCATTTCTAAATATTAAATATTACCTGCTCCACTACTATTTGTCAGCTGTTTATTCCTGGTGAACAGAAATGCAAAATGATTTTCTTGAGATTGATGTCGTTTTCACATGAACATCAAGGTGGAAATCATTTTCTAAGAATTACTCTTGCCGCTTTCGAAGGTGATTTTCACGTATGCGGACAAAGCCTCGGGAGTCATAGGTAACGTGGTTTCCTTAACCTTTTATTGTTTAATCAATAAAGTCGACTGAACCGTAAAAAAAAAAAAAAAAAAAAAAAGAATTACTCTTGCCAAGAGGTGGTGGCACACCTTTAATCCCAGCACTCAGGAGGCCCAGGCAGGTGGATGGAGTTTGAGGCTAGCCTGGTCTACAGAATGAGTTCTAGAGCAGCCAAGGCTACACTAAACCTTGTCTCAAAAAAGAAAAACAAACGAAGACAGAGAATTGGTCTTGAGAAGTCATTGGTGTGGGCTCTATCAGCAAAGTGTGTGCCTTGCCATCATGACAGCCTGAGTTCAGTCCCCAGAACATAAACTAAAAAAAAGAAAGAAAAAGCCACAGCTGGTAGCTTGCTTGCAATCCCAGCCCTGGAGAAATGCACACAGATAGATCCCTAAAGCTCAGCAGTCAGCTAACTCAGTCACTTTGATGAGTTCCAGCTCGGGGACAAAACCTGTCTCAAAAAATAAAGTGGACAGCTCCTGAGGAATGATGCCTTACACAAATACATGTGTGCAAGTGTACACACACACACACACACACCACTTACAGGAATGTTACTAAGCCTGCAGACATACCAGAACCTTTTAAAAAGTTACAGACAAAACCCTGTTGGCCACTAGCTAGCCAGCCAACCCTTCCAGGAAAGGTGAAGGGCTGTGGACGCCTCCACCCTCGCCATTTTCCCAGCCAGTCCTTCCATCACTTCCCCCGCTGCTAAGCTTGCCTTCCAGGGTATTTATTTCTGGTGCTCCTTGATAAGGCTGACCTAGACTCTGCTGACATAGGGCTTCTGCTCTGTGGTTTCAGATAACCGCTCCCACCAGCCTCTATCCACCAAGACCCCTTGTAGCTGGGCAGAAACTTTACCTTATCACCCTGAGGCCACAGAGAGGATCTCAGGAGACGGGCTGGGCAGAAAAGCTGCTGAAGGTAATCAATCCCTTCCCTGGCCCTCCCACACACACCGGGCTATAGCTCTGCCAGAGGTGCAGGATTTCCCTACCTTACCCGTGGTAAGATTCCCAGAGCCATGCCCATTAAGATTCTGGTCACAAATCTGAAGCACCTGCCCAGGGCCAGCGTAGTGGCCCAGTGGATAATGCCACCTGCTCAAACACTCCCACAAACAGGTTCCACCCAGACTCAGAGATTGACAACTGTTAGTTAAAGAGTAAGGACTCTTTGCTTTCCTTTTGGGCCCAGTCCAGAGAGCCTGCGGGGGGGGGGGCTCCTTCTGTTTGGAAGCCCACTCAAGGCATGGATGTCTAAAGGAAGAGTTGAGTTGACCTAGCTGTTGTCCTTGATGCTGTCCTTCTGGTGGTTCCAGTTTGCTTTTCGTTTCTCATCTCCATCCTGAGGTAAACTACTATCCCCCAAACTCTGGTCTTCACCTCAAACCCAGCTTCCGTCCGCTGCATCTGTCTAGTCTGGATGTGGCTGGCACCCCATGCCCAGCAGGCCCTGCTGTCTCCCTACGGGCTCCATGCATCCCCTCCGTGGCTTCTTACAGGTTTTTATTTGTTTGTTTGTAAGATTTATTTATTATGTACACAGTGTTCTGCCCCACGCACATATCACCGAAGGCCAGAAGAGGGCAGCAGATCTCATTACAGATGGTTGTGAGCCACCATGTGGTTGTTAAGAATTGAACTCAGGACCTCTGGAAGAGCAGCCTGTGCTCTTAACCTTTGCCTTCTGTCCAGCCCCTCTTACAGGTTTTTAATCTTGGTTCTCATTTCAGTACACTGATCAGTCACAAAGGCGGGCAGTTTGTACTTGCTGTCTATCTAAGGAAATACGGAAATTACCATCTACCGCGTTTCCTGCCTGGGAGCTTAGCAATTACAATATCCCTAGCGTGGGCAACAGAGGCCCAACAATCTGAACCCTCGAGAGTGAGGCAGGGAAAAGGCCAACAGCAGGTCACGAAACTCAGATGTCAAAAACAGGAGGAGGGGAAGGCGACAGACAAAGGCCTCTCTAATCTGCAAAACCGAACACGGGGCGCTCAGAAACTTACAAATGCAATAAGTGGGGAAGTCCGAGGCCGTAGCCCCTCGTTACTGCCTGGAAAGCTGGGGGCAATTAAAAGCAGAGAGGGAAGGTCATAAACGATAAGGTGCAGCAGGGCAGAACCCGACTTCAGTGAGGGTTTGCCGGGGGAGAAAGGCGCAGCTGCCGGTTTAATTAGAGCTAAGGCTGAAGCCTCCTTCCCGATAGCCAGGACTGGTGTCGGGGTCCCCCGGGGCTACTGCCTCGCAACGGGATCCTCCCGCCGCCGGACTCGTCGGAAACGCAACCTCTGGGTCCTGTCCCAGACCTGCCAGGTGATTCTTCACTTGTAGCATACAAAAGAATCTTCTAGATCCGGAGGGATTGTCAGACGACTGACGGCTGGGGCCCCGGCCGTTTCTGAAACAAGTTTGTCTGACGGTGGGGGCTGGGACTCCCTGGTGATGCTGGAAGTAGTGCTGGTTCCCTCCCCTCGGGGGACAAAGGCTCTCTGGGAGAGGGTTGATTAAAGCCTCGGGTGCCCCCAGCCCCCAGACTGAAAGAGAGTTGTTTACAATCCTGCATGAATTGCCCAGGACAATGCAAACATTTGCAGAGCGCTCTGGGCACCCAGCAGACTCACCAGCAGGCACAGGAAGTGGTAACTTTGAAACAGAAGCAAAGACGCCTTGTAGAAGCAGGAGCATCTCTAAGACCCAAGCCTAACAATAAACGACCTTTCTCCTTAGCCTTCTAGCCACAAAAGTAAACGTAGCTTTAGCCCAGCAGTCCACACTCCCGTCCCCCCCCCCCCGCCCCCGGCTGAGGGGCGTGGCCTAACAATCTAGCCTGGAAAATGGTTCTTATTCCCAGGCAACACATAATCCCCAATTGAGGGCTCTTTTAAGATGTCTGAA